TAAGTTTTTGAGCAAATCAAAGCACTTGCCACGTACATTTATTACATACAAGCTTGATTTCTCTTGCAAAGTTGTAGGCTTAAGTAAAATAAAAGCACCTGCATAAGTTTCAGCCCAATATTGACTTCACTCATTCAAAACTAAATTGATTTAAATAGAATAATTAAATAAATTGATTTTTTTCACAATTTTACTCAAACTAGCTTAATTTATTGTGTATTAATCATTAAATGATAGGTGTATGTTTACTTTGGGGAATTGTTTTACTAATTGAGTGTGAATCTATATTAGTATGACTTAAATAGAATAATTAAATGAGTAAGAGTTAACTTCCAAGTTTTAATAGAAGAACTACTTGAGGAGCGGAAAAAAATTTGGAAGGGGTCAAAACAGTTATTGAAAAGGGCCAAGGCAGTTATTTTTACACGCTGTCTGGTTGCCTCGTCGACTATCCACCGGGATTGGGTCGAGAGAGGGGCCAAATTGCAAATTGCTGAAAGTTGTACGAAAAGGATCAAGAAAATGGCTATACTCTTTCTTGTAACACTAGTACAGAGCCCGTGCGATGCACGGGGTGCACAATTTTAAGGTCATTTATTCATTCTTATAATTATATAAATGAATAAAAAATATACGGGATATATATAGTACGTGACCTGTAATAGGCCAAAATGTGAACACGGGTGATGCACGTGGGGCACAATTTTAAGGTCATTTATTAGTACAGAGTCCGTGCGATGCACAGAGTGCATAATTTTCTAGTATGTGTGATAAAAATACATACCGTATGCACGGGACAGAAGCACTAAATGAGTCATTTTCACATAGCTTGCCCGTTAAGTAGCTCCTGAACACGGGTGCACAATTTGTAGTGCGTACCATAAAATCAGAACAGATTTCCATACAATTAGATAATAAATTAAATATAAATAAAGTTTTTTTATTTTAGTAAAGATTTTACGTACTTTGTTTTTTACTTATCGGATGTTATGGGATTTTTTTTGTTAAACCGATTTTATGGAATATAATACAAATACAATTAGAGGATTGAACAAAATTAGAACAGATTTTCATACAATTAGAAAATATAAAGGAATTAGATAAGGAAAAGAAGGAATTAGATAAGAAAAAGAAGGAATTAGATAAGGAATTTTAAATCTGACTTTTTTTTTTATAGATAGACTTTACGTACAAATTTTGACTTCACTGATTTTATGAGATTTATTTTGACAAAATCGATGCTAATATGGAATAAGACAAATAAATAAAGTCTTTTTATTTTAGTAAAAATTTTACGTCTTTTTTTTGACTTGTCATATGTTATGGGATTTTTTTTCTTAAACTGATTTTATGGGATATAAGACAAATAAATAAAATAATTAAATAAAATTCGGGATAAAAATAGCAATGCGTTAATTACGTTGACTTTTCAATCTACTAAATTTGGTAAATAGGATACCTTATATAATAAGTATAGATACAAATAAAGAACATGCCAAAATTTTAAAGAATAATTAATATATTTTAATTTATTATCTAGTCATCAGTAATATCATTTAATGATGTGATCATTATCTCTTAAATGATAAATAAAATATTAATTTAAAAAAATATTTGTTTTTTATATACTCAAATAAAAATTAAAAAATACTATCGACAAATATGAAATATAATATATATCAGTAAAATCATTTCAGAAGTTAATGAAATTATTTAAGGAAATAATCTTTTTGATCATATTTGAATAGAAAATGTATATATGCAAGCAATTAATGCATATAGTAAAAAATTTCTAAATAAAGTATGCATTAAATGTGAATTGACTTTTTTTGCTACTATTTTTGGTAAATAATATGGCTTTTAATATAAGTATAGATTTTTCTCTCTTTTTTTGTCAAGACCAGTAAGGGTGTGATTGTTTATGGATTGAATTGGTTTTTATTTGGTTTGTTTTCAACTATAGTTAATTTTGAAAAAAAAAAAAGTAGTATGGTTAGTTGTTAGTAGATATATTAAAATAATATTTAAATAAAATAATTAAAATTGATTTGATGTAAAGTAGAGAAAAAATGATTGGAAGTGATAGTTAGTTAAAGTTATGTGAGTGGATGAATAGTGAATTAAAGTTGATTTGATGTGTAACAATGATTGGTTGATATTATTTAATTATATTGATAATATTGAAAATAGTGGGGTTGATTTAAAGTTGAGTTAAATTTGAGTTTTAATTGGTTTTTTTACTATTCAATTTATAAACAATCACCCCCTAACTTATTGAAATGCAAAAATTACAATTTTTAAATTTTAGCCAACTGGTCCAATAACTCTAAAATTTTAGAATTATTGGACCAATTTCGAACCAAATAACTGTCGAATTTCGACTTTTTAGACTGAAATTGGACGACATTGATTAAGAATATATATATATTTTCATTTATTTTTAATTGCAGTTTTTTTCATTTGGATCCAATGAGTCCACATATTTAAATTGTGAATGTGAGACTCATTCCTAGCCATTAGATTGGTACATTATGTGTGGCTAAGATTAACACTTCAATTAAATAATAATTCTTTATTTTTAGTACTTATTTTTTTATTTTATTATTTTAATTATTTAAGTATTATTTTGACAATTGACCATTGACTTCGGCGTTGACCGTTGACTTCCGGCGTTGACTCCCGACAAAAAATTGTTGGCTTCCGGCGTTGACCGCTGACTTCCGGCGTTGACTTTCAACATTGACATTTGACCCCTTAGTATGCATTGTGTATGAAGTAAATATGCATCAGTACTATGCACTTAGTATGAACTAAATATGCATCAGAAATGATATATATATGTTATCCCTATGAACTAAATATGCACCAATAATATCAACTATGTATGCACTGTTTATGTACTAAATATGCACATTTTACTACCTAAATATGCATCATGAATGAACTAAATATGCAACGAAAATATGCAATAAAATACACATTTTATACAATTAAATTAAATATAATAATTAATGATTTTTATTATATAATTAATTTTAATTTTACATTGTTTAATAACACAAATAAATTGTTATGATTGGATCTCAAATAAAATAGGTATGCACTGTTCATGAACTAAATATGCATTTCGTAAGAACTAAATATGTATCATGAATTAACTAAATATGCATCATATATTAACTATATAAATATCATTATATATTTAATTTTAAATATAACGAGTATGCATTTCGTATTAACTAAATATGCATCATAAATTACCTAAATATTATTGGGTTTGCATGAATTACCTAAATATGTATCATGAATTAACTAAATATGCATCATATATTAACTATATAAACATCATTATATATTTAATTTAAATATAACAAGTATGCATTTCGTATTAACTAAATATGCATCATAAATTACCTAAATATTCATAATAAATTAACTAAATATGCATCATAAATTACCTATATAAAATTACATTTTTATTGCATATTTTTCGCTGCATATTTAGTTCATATTGAATGCAAGGTACTGGATGCATATTTACTTCATACATATTGCAAACCAAGGGCAACATGTCAACGACAGAAGTCTACGGTCAACGTCGGAGTCAACGCTGGAAGTCAACGGTCAACGTAAAAAGTCAACGATTTTTCACCGAAAGTCAACAGTCAACGATCAACTAATAATTATTTTATTATTTAATTAATATATATTTTAAAGAGTTGACTCATTTTAAAAGTGGACTCATAGAATCCTACCTTATATATATATATATTTTCTAACGTCAATTGAGTCCAGTTGGCTGACATTTTGATGTCAACCAAAAAATTAAATCGCATCACATGCAACAATTAATACGCCCTCATGGCCGCAATCCAATGCACACCCTGTTAATTATTACCGCCCAACTACTTTTTTGATTATTTTTTTGTTCTAAAATCATATAATAAATTGAATATAGTGATGAATGAGTGACAACTAACAATAATATCAATTAGAAGGCAGATAATGCCAATGATCTCTTGGCCTACGGGTTAAGAGTGAGGAACCCACAACATGAGGTTAATAGTTCAAGCCAGCATGAAACAAGCACTTCGGTGAAACTTTGCGGCTGAATAGATGAGGTCAATTTGGAGTTGGGAGGAAAATAGCGACTAATCACTAATCAGTACACAGACCCAACGATTAGAAACCCATAATTTTCCAATACATATGTATACTCAAGACCATTATTAGCCAAATCTAACTATTAGGGAACAATATTTTTCAATATATGTCGTGTTTTCAAACTAAAATGTCATACTTTAAAAAAAAACAACTTTACCAAAATTACTGACTTCATCATAATTAAATGTATATATTCATTAAAATAAAGTATATTGCAGGTCGATTAGGGACCGCTTCATACAAGAATTTATAATTTTAACCTCTTAAAACAACTCGATACTTTTTCTAACACATATAGACCAAAGGTGTATTTATTGAGACCAAAAAGATTAAAAGTTTTTTTTTTAGCCAGCCACAATATTCGAAACTATGCTCCGACTAATTCGTTGGTCAACCTGGGTTGCAAACTTAACAGTGGTGGGTGAGTCTTCCAACAAAAATTTTCTGCATCCACAAAGACTCGAACACGAACACGAACACGTGACCTTGCTTAAACGACATCAAGCTGCTTACGACTTGAGCCAACCCTTTTGGTAATTAAAGATTAAAAGCTTTTAATGCGCAGAGCTACATTTTGAGCAAATTCATTGATGGCAATCCCAACGCCCATCCCCTATCCTTATTAATCAACACACCACTCTACACACTTTACTTTGTACTAATAATATATATATATATATATATATAAGCTCTTGCATAAAGAAGCTCTTACAAGTCAAAAAGGTCCTTGACAAAATCCAGA